CGTCGAGTCGGTTCCGACCCATAGCGACCCTGTACAGGGTTTCCGAGGGTGTAAATCCTTACGGGAGTAGAAAGCCTCATCTTTCTCCCGCGGAGGGGCTGGTAGTTTCGAACTGCTGACCTTATGGTTCGCAGCCCGATTCGTAACCACTACGCTACCAGAGCTCCTTCATATGTTACTCACCTTGAAATTCAGCTTGTTTGTTTCAAAACCATTGAGCTGTACTGGGTATCTCCCTCCTTCTCTCTCCACATTCACAGCTTTCCTTCAGTTTCTTCTTCCAATTAGCATTTTATCTAATTCATTATCCTTTCCTTCAATGCTCAAGGTTCCAGGATTGTGGTGTGTATATATTTCATTCATTTCTCACATCTTTGTTGAAAAACGACAGTGCGTGGTGTCGGTCATCTCAGCTCTTCCCAGTCAATGATTTTTAGAACAGTCATAGTTGTCCAATGCTGCTCTAATGGAAATACCACAAGTGCATGGCTTTACTAACCAGAAATTTATTCTCTCCCAGATTTGGAGGCTAGAAGTCTGAATTCCGAGTGCCAGCTCTGGGAAAGGTCCTTGTCTCCTTTCAGCATCATTAGGCCCAGCATTCCTTGGAGTTCTCCCTGGGTCTTGGCATCCATCTTCCTTTGGATACAGGACCCTCAGAGTGTAGGGCCCCAGCCCCACAGGACTCACTCCACACTGGCTCTCCTATCTTGGTGGTAGTAGGTGTTGGTTCTCTGCTCATCTCTCTCCTTTCTCTTTTTTGTAAGACAAAAGGTGTTGCATGTCCTACACTTTGTAATCTCCCTTAAATCAGATCAGAGTGCTGGTGGGATTAAAGGTGGTATGTCCTTGGACTCCTGGTGGAATGGCGCTGTGGGTTAATGCACTGGACTTCAAAGTTGGTTTGAATTGCAAAGTCGTCTGTTCAAGCTCACCAGTCACTCCTTGGAAGCCCTATACAGAGTGACTATGAGTCAGAACACACTCGACAGCAGTTAACAAGAAAAACAACAATCCTTGGACTCCTGGTGTGGCTCTATAGGTTAAGCTCTAGACTTCTAAATGAAAGGTTGGTTGTTCAAATATAAACAAAAAGTTAGCAGTTCAAACCCACCAGTCACTACTGGAAAGCCCTATTCAGGCTCACTATGAGTCAGAACTGACTCAACAACAGTTAACAGCAACAATCACAGCATCCCACCCTTACTCCTCTTATTGCTGTATCACATCAAACCACATAAACCACATCTCAACTTTCAAACCACTACACATGCTGGCCCAGTCAAGCTGACACAAACCTTAACTACCAGAAGAAGATTGTTCAGAGATTTTAGTATAGTTATCAAAACTGAGAACATTTTCACCTGAAAAGAGAAATTCATGCCCGTTAACAATCGCTCCCCGTTTACTCCCCAATTTCCTTATACTAGTCAATCACAATCTGCTTTCTATCTCTAGGGTTTACCTATTCCTGAAGTTTCATATAAACAGAGTCAAACAGTCTGTGGCCCTCTGTGACTGGCTTCTCTCACTGAGCATCTCTTCACGGTTCATGCACCTTGCAGCATATCCGTGCCTCATTCTTTTTGCAGATGAACAAGCTCCCTTGCATTTTCTTGATCCATTCATGTGATGAGCACTTGGGTTGTTTACATCTTTTGACTATTCTTAATAACGCTGCTATGAAGTAACTAGAGTACATGTGATGCCATACTTAAGAAAAATTATTGTTATACATTTTTATTCTTCTTCTTTTTTTTTTTTAAATCAACTAGATTCGTTTTAGTTTCCAATTTTTTTTTGAGGTATTCTCAAACTTGTCATGTTTGTGGTCCACACGTTGACTGGCGTAATGTCTAAGCTATGATGGTTTAGTCTTTGCAGGGTTCTCGTGGGAACTTTCAAGGTTATGGATCCTCTACTCAGAAAAATGTGCAAGTAAAGGGAAATGCAAAAATTAACATAAATGTTGGTGTGTTCTCAGAGTCTCTGAAGTCTATTGACCTGACCTTTAACCCTATGAGAGACAAAGACAGTAGGAACACATTTCCGGTCATCATTTCACCAGCCCACTAGGCCACTCTATGTGTGTGTATTCAGTGAAGGAGGCAAACTAGGCCCCATAACAGGCTCTCAAGGAGTAAGTGGAGAGATGCTGTTTATTAGTCACTTGTTCATCCATACAATTCCAAGTGCCTACCACATTCTAGATAAAGTTCTAGTCTCAGATCACTATGGTAGGAATTGACATTTGTCTTTCTTTACCCCCACCCTCACTCTCTGTCCCTCAGCATATGAACTCTCTTCCTACCACAGGAAAATTACACATGTGAAAAGCAAAATGCACTTTCACAAACATTCATGCAGAAGGACACAGACATGGGCCTGAGTCTCCACCACTGAGATGCCCACATGCCAGAGTCACAATCAGGACCTGATGACATCAGAAACTGGGAGGATTGTGGGGGATACACTTTGGGAGGAGTGGCCTGATTGACAGGAGAGACGTCCTTTGCCAAGAGAAGCAGTGAGAAAGGTCCTGGTCACAGGACTCAATGCCCAGCCTCGGGGGTACCAGTCATGTAGACAGTGGCGTCTGCCCCAGCAGTTGCTGACTTGTGGTTTCCATATGGGACCCACTGAGGGAGGGATTGTGGACTCTGTTCCTGCTGTGAAGCTTCAAGTCTAGTTCTGTGACTTCCTCCAAAATGAGTCGAGGCTCCACTCCTTGGAAACACTATACAGGGTGACTATGAGGCAGAGCCAACTGGAAGGCAAAACCCCTTTGTTTAATTATGAAAAGTTGCATTCCACTGTTTGCACCCATAAGTGAAGGCAATATCCTTGTGTGAGTGTTCAGAGATGAGCATTCAGTTTGTGTATGTGGAGCTGTGAGCCCCTCACTGCCCAGATCATCACCTGGTACAACACATGCTGCAGAAATGGCATGCATCTCTCAACACCACAGCTCATAACTGATACGTATCCTGATTTTTCTTTCTTAGGGAGAAACAACACTTAAATGTGGTTTTAAGACCCCTCCCCACTCTGGGTGCTATTCTGATCATGACCTCAGTGGTTCCATATCTGACCGAGCACCAGGAGTGTTTGTGGGACCTGTTACAACACACCTACACCTCTCATAAGATCACTCATCTCAGAATCTGGGGCCCAGAGCCCAGACATAACTTACTGTACCAGGCCTACCAGTGAAGCTGATGCCCAGCCATGTGGGAATCCCTGCGCTACACTCGTGCTACTAAACATGTGACCTGAAACCTAGCGGCACCAGCAGCACCTGTTATAAATACAGAGTCTCAATCTCGGCTTCAGACCTTCTGAGTCTTCATGAGATTTCCAGGTGACTCTTCACATAGAACCTTTGAGTCTCTCTGAGCTGGGAGCCTGGATGTGGTGCCAGAGCTTCGGTGTGTGCTCTGATGTGTTCATTTGTCACTGGAGGTTCCAGACTCAGCCTTTGGTCCTTTTTCTTCTTCAGATTCCCATGAAGGTCTCATCAATTCTGAAGGCTTTAAATCTCATTTGCATGATGTCATCTCCCAGATCTATTTCTCTAATCACATTTCTACTCATCTCCAGACTAGTATGTCCAACTTCTGACCCGATAACCTCACTTGCATCTCTAACAGCCATCTCAGACGCAACATTTCTTAAGCTGCATGCCTGTAACGCCCCCTCCTCAGTACGCTCCTTCCAGAGTCTTTCTCGTTTCTGCTGATTGTATTTGCACTTTCCAAATACTTAGTGTCTTCTGACTCTTCTTTCTTGTACTTCAATTTCAATCCATCTTGTAAAATCCATCCTCAAAATATTCCAGAATCCAGGTGTGCCTGCTGCGGGCTGTGAGGCTGCAGGTAAGTGGAGCAAACATGAATGTTGGAGTTGCCCACAGTGAAGTGAATCCAAATACCCGTGTAATGAACAGCCGTGGTATGTGGCTGACATATGCATTGGGAGTTGGCTTGCTTCACATTGTCTTACTCAGTATTCCCGTCTTCAGTGTTCCTGTTGCTTGGACCTTAACAAATATTATACATAATCTGGGCATGTATATATTTTTGCATGCAGTAAAAGGAACACCTTTTGAAACTCCTGACCAGGGTAAAGCAAGAGTCCTAACTCACTGGGAACAACTTGACTATGGAGGACAGTTTACATCTTCACGGAAGTTTTTCACAATTTCACCAATTATTCTATATTTTCTGGCAAGTTTCTACACGAAGTATGATTCAACTCACTTCATCTTAAACACAGCTTCTCTCCTGAGTGTGCTAATTCCCAAAATGCCACAACTACATGGTGTTCGGATCTTTGGAATTAATAAGTATTGAAATGTTTTGAAGCTGAATTAAAAGTTTTACAGCTATTCAGGTTCCTGTAAGGAAGGAGTAGTTAGTACACTGCACTGTTTCTGTGAAAATGTGAGATAAGAGGTGTGTTTACATTGGAGGACTAATTGCTAGTTCTTTGTATGCTCTTGAAGTGCAGATTTTTACTAGAAGATACCTCTTTAATACATCTGGTATATTTCTTCTGAAGAGAGGCTTTATAGGCAGGCTGGGCAGGCCCCAGCTCCTAATTTAAATGGGTATACAGTGGGTAGTAGTAGATAAATCCAAGGTGAAAAGAGATCTGTAAGAAACTAGAAGTAGCTTAGTTTATACTGAAGGGGCATTAGTTTAGGAGAAAAAAATTTCCAATCATTCAGTCACAGTCATTTTAAGCAGACTTATGTGTAAACCATAATCATCTCTTTCAAGAGTTTACTATAGATTGTTTTTAATATCATACATATTCCTATCCTTTTGTTTTATGCAAGCTGATTTCTACCTTATTTTATGAGCATATTTGTATGGTTTTTGTTGGCTCAACATTTTGCATTGATACAAGGTCATTGTTACATTTACTAAGTTACTAAGTTCATGAAGGGCCACCTTCTGACTGATTGATGATAGAAGGTATAAACAGTCTCTGAGTCAAACTTCTAGTGTTAGAACAAACTAGGATCTGCTGCCTTCTAGACATGAGGCTGTCACATGAATTAAGAAAATAATTTATTTCAGCCAGTAAAAACATATATTAATTTGAGGTTTTATTTATTTGGTTGAGCAACTTAATTGTTAAAATCTGCCATTCATAGAAAAGACAATACAACCTGGGTGGCTATATAGCCAACCTGTTGTCTGGCACAAACTGCTTCTTAGTATCAAAGTAATTAAATAATGAAGCCTTTTTTAGCTGCAATAAAAGATAACTTCATTTTTTTCTTAGTCTCCCTATTTTCAGCTACCGTATTTTACTTATTAATATTTTTGCCTTTCACTAAATACAAATAACCCCAAATGGTAGCAATCATATTGAAATTCTTATGACTGGGGAAGCTTCCTATATTGTTATTGTTGTTGTTAAGTATCAGAGTCAGTTCCAATTCATAGTGATCCTGCATAGGATTTTCTAGGAGCAGCTGTTAGATCTGAACTGCCAACCTTTTGGTTCACAGTCCAGTGCTTGACCTTAAAGCGCCCTATTAATCACAAGAAATAAACTATATACTACTTTGAGAAGAGAATGTGTCAAAAAACAGTTCTGATATGGGATAAAACTGAAAAATTCAGTTATATTTGTAAACACAGTTGCAAAGAGTGAAAAGAGTTCTAGAATAACTTAAAAATCACTTTGTTTCAATAAAATGACTTTTGGGGTAATGATCATTGTTTTGTATTTAAAAAGTGTTGAGTTTGTATGATACTGCCTTTGTATGTTTGTCTTTATCCATGTATTTTTAAATAAC